GAGGAGCCGCCGGGACTGCAGCAGCCGCCTCGCAAGTCCGGGTAGGTGCCCCTCCCCCTCCGGGGTCCCCGTAGCGCTCTGGGCGCTCGCTGCTCCTCCCCCTCCGCAGTTGGTGGGGCCGGCGACCTCCCCCTTCCCGCGCTGTGCACCCTCATCCCTCCGGCGCCCGGAGTGCGTTCTTGCAGCGCGCCCTCGGCCTGCACGGGGGCTGCCACTGCTTAGTTTTCTCCGCAGGCCTTGCCCCTTCTTTTCGTCTGGTGGGTCTCTCTCCTCTATGCCTCTACGCCTGCCCCTTTCGATACCGTCTTTTACTCCCCACCCGGAGTTCTGGCAGAGAGTGAAACCGCCCCCATCCCCCAGCTCCTCCAGCGTCCGCACCCGTACTTCCTCATCCCAAACTAAGAAATTGGAGTCTGCCCTGGTAGCCCCTTTTAGGGCTAGTTCGCAGCACTCCCGACCACCCAGTACCTGCAGACGCGGGCGTCAGGCCCTCAGCCTCCCTGCCTCCAGACACTCGCTTGCTTTCTCATAAATTCTCGTGCACGTTTCCCGAGATTGATCAAGGTAACCCTGCGGCTCAGGATCGACTTCTTGAAGAATCCAAACCTTGACATTCCCTCTTTTATCCTCTGCAGCTACCGTTTTTCTGCCTTTGCTTTTATTGAGTCTCAGTATTTGTGTACTGACATATAAAGGAAGAGGGAAGGTATGATTTTTTTTTTTTTCCCATTGAGAGCAGTCACAGGGCTTAGAAGAAATAGGATTCACCTTTTGCTTATCCTAACTTTTCGCTTCTCTCTCTCCTATGACGGTGAGCACTCATTCAGCCATCCTTTCGAGCTTCGGGAATGTTTTGTCTATATTTGAATAATCCTCAACCTAGTTTGCTACATTTTAATACTTGTCTTCTCACTTCTGAAAATCAAACCCACTGTTTCTTGGATTGAAACTGAAGTAGTAAAAGGCTCATAGATTGGAGAATTACGTCTCTCTCGCCATAATGGGACTGGTGGAATATTTCAAGTAATACCATTCTGGAGAAAAACGTTGCCTCCTGGTTAAAGAGCTCAGACTCTGCAGTAGTACTGCCAGGGTCTAAACCTCTGCCCTGTCACCTTCCAGCTCTACCTTTGGGCAGGTTTTTTTTTTTTACCTCTCTGGGATACAAAATCCTTACAGTTAGAAAGTGAGGATAGTGATATACTGCACTGGATAGTGGTGGTAGTTGTACAAGTTAATGCAGATAATAGAACAGTACCTGGATAAATATTTGCTAAAAGTTATCTTTATTATTCTTTTGCTGTTGATAGATTAGTTTTGAGAGAGAAAGGTGGGAATGAAAAGCTGCCTTCTTACTCTCTTTAACACACTTTTTGTGGTAGATATGATTTGTACTTTGTTGTATAAGTTAATTTTTTGTCATTTGAGAAAAACAGGGTTTTTAAGTAAATAACAAAGCTACAGATAGGTCAGTCCCTATTTCAGATACTATTTAAGAGTTCCCGCGGTTCGCGTCTCGGACCCGGTGGCTTAAATCTCACACCGGGCGCATGTGCGTGCGTGCCCAAGATCCCGAGAGGAGAATGGAGGAGAAGGGATTGCGGTGTGACCATCCCCCCTGGGGGGTGATTTCTCGCTTTCTGTCTCTATGTCTCTCTCTGTCTGGCGAGCGCACGCGCCCTATAGCGAAAACCTCTCCAAAAAAAAAAAAAAAAGAGTTCCTACATTTTATCTTTAAGAATAAATGAAGTTGAAGTATGTAGCAGATTTATTACAAGGAAAAATAGGAGTTCTATAGGCAAGAATTTTAGGACTGCAAATTAAATATTCAAAACTGGTGGTATTCTTCATACCCATCTGACTTTTATCTTGAATTAATACTAAGAGCTTTGGCTTCACTCAGAAGGTTGATGACTTTTCCTGCTAACCTGTTACGTTCATTCATATTCGTGCTTTTGGTGTTCACCAAATTTTACTCACTTTTTAAAACCCTGACAATTTTTGCCATATTTTTTGCCTCTTGTGCACTATAATTTAATACATTTTCAATGACTTATTAAAAAATTTTAAGTAGGTATTATTTACCTTAGAGTTGTTAAAAATAGTAAAAATTTGAAATCACTACTTACTGTCTTAACTGTATGTGAAAACTTATGTAGCTATTAAAACTTTCTCATCTAGAGCCCAAATCATTTTTGTACCCCTAGTGACACATGCTCCATGCTATGGGTGACCCTGCCTTTGCTAATGCCATTTCCTGACCTAGAGTAATCTTTGCTCTTTCTCCTACATGTCCAAATTCTACCTGTCTTCTCTCTCATACTACTACTTCATGCCAACATTGATGTCTTTATTTTTTGGTTTTCTTTATTCTGTATTTTTGGTCTTGAATAGTATATACAGTTCAAGTTTAAAAAAATTACTCTCTTAGATTCAGACTTTTAAGCCTTGTAGAAACTTTGAAGGGGTAGAATAAAATTAACATTTGACATCTACTTTGTGCTTAACCCTATTCCTACAGTTTCATAAATATTCATTTTCTCAAAAAATATTTAGTGAGCACCTCCTGGGTGTCAATACTGGGGATATTTGAGAGCAGCCCTTCTCAACCAAGGTTCCAGGGAGTATCAAGTCCTAATGCTCTAAGGCAGCCAAGGTATGTCATGAATTACCTCATCTGCTTTGTATCTAGGATGGTGCTAAGTACCATTCTTGAGAAAATTGCAGAGGTAGTCAGTGTAATCACTTTTTATAGGTCTTAATTCCCAGAGAGCCCTGGTTGAGAAAAGCTGTAGCAGAGAATAATAATGTAGTCTCTGCTTTATTTGTAATTTATATTCTATGCAGCACTGACAGTAAACAAGTAAGCAGATAAAATTGTAAGTGAAGATTGGTGATATTCTTAAATATAATGATAACCACTAACTTTTATAACACACTGTACCAATCATGGTTTCAAATGATTTATATATACTCGCTTAAGCCTCATAATAATTCTTTAAAGAAGTGTTAATGATTGTCTCTATAAATGAGGAACCTGAGAAACAGATTATTTAACTTCCACAGAAATCTTAGAGTTCAATAAGCAATGCAGCCAGGCTGTATGGTTCTAGATCCTGTGACCCTTTGGTACCTCTTATACCTTCCTTTTCTTTTCTTTTCTTTTTTTTTTTTTTTTGTTTTTTTTTTTTTGTACAGGATTCTTCACCTTTCTGGAAATCTTTATTTATTTGCTTTTTAATCAGTGGCATTTCTCTCAAAAAACAAAAAAGTTCCAAATTGGAACATAATTTTTGGACAAATCACCTGTGCCAGGCATTGTGCTAGGCTCTAGTAACACTTGGACAAAAATCATCTCTGCCAGGCACCGTGCTAGGCTCTGGTGACACTGTTTAACAGAAAGAGGGAACCTGTGTTCATAGAAGCAACAATCTGTTGAGGAATAAAGAAACTAAACAAAAAAATATAAAAACATTAAGTAATTAGAATAACTACTACAGAAAAAAAAAAATCCTTGTAAATAATGGATGCCAACAATCCATCAGGGAATACTACTATGGAGATATGACCTGTAGGCTGATACCTAAAGGATGAACTAGTTACCAAAGTGATGTCTGCAAAGATAAATCCTAAGTTTAGAATAAAATTGCCATATCTATAGTATGAACTTTTTCTTCCTTGAGTTCAGACCCTCTTTTCTATTTATCACCATCTGTATGTCTGGATGTTCTGTTAAGTACCTCGGACTTTTTCCCCCCACAAGTACACAAGTACTCTTTCATTTACAGTATGTTTGGTTTGTTTCTTTTCTTTCTTTTTTTTTTGGAGGGATTTTTGCTATAGGGCATGTATGGTTTCCTGAGAGACAGAGACAGACAAAAAACAAGAATCCCCCTTCCCCCGCAGGGAAGGCCACACCACAATCCTTTCTCTTCCATTCTTTTCTAGGAATTTTGGGCACATATGCAGCTGCACCCAGCATCAATTTTAAGCTGCCAGTACTGTGACTTGAACCATGGTCAACTATGTGGGAGTCCAGCTACAAAACCATTACTCCATTTGCTGGCCCCATTTATAGTATGTTTTGTAAATGCTACTATTTATCAAGCACTAAGTACTAGACTTTTGTGTATGTGATTACGACTTACGAAACTAGGGGCAGTAGGCAATTGTACAAATATTTGTTATTCTCATGTGATTTGTGCCGTCATGATAATTTATTCAGGTTGCCTTGAAAGCACAGAGAAAGGGATTCAGTGAAGACTTTCTAAGGAAAAATGACACTTGGGGGAGTGTTTCTAAAAGGCAGATTAAATTTCGGTAGAGAGAATAATGGGTTGAAAGGGAGCTTAAGGAAATATTTTAGGTGTTTGAAAGCAAAGCAGGAACTGGGTGGAACATATAGGTAGTAGATTGGAGAGGTTGGCGGTACCATTCAGAGGTTTCCCAGTTGAACTTGTATTCTCTTTGCTGTTTTGATTAATATCATCACCATCTGTATACAGTACTCCCTCCTTATTTATGTTCCCAGATCGCTAGTGGATGCCTGGAATGATAGATAGTACCAAGTCCTACATATACTATGATTTTTTGATTTTATAACCAACATAGCTATGAGGGGAGGCCAGCAAAGGGGTTTGAAGTGGAGGTAAATTGGGGAACAGAAGGTATGGATAGTCACAGTACATGCACAGAGTGGATCCGAAAGAGATGATTTACATTCTAAACCGAACGAAGTGGAATATCATCATTCTACTCACAACAGCATCAATTTAAAACATTATATCTGGAATTTTCTATTTAATATCTGTTTAACATTTTTGGACCATGGTAGACTAGAAGTAATAAAATCATGGGATGCAAAACCATGGATGGGGGTGGCCACCACAGTCAACGAAATTGACGATTATATCTTTTAGTATTTGTTGTCCACGGTGGTGTTGTATTTTTGCTAGTTAGCTTTATATTATACATATTAAACCTATGCTTATAGAATCACTAAATAACTGATAGTATAACACTTTAGTAATTTATTATAGAA